CAGTGCTTTCTTGTCCCTGTAGAGCTGAAATCAAATATTAAAAGATAATACATTTTTCTTTTTGGAATTTCCATTATAACTCCATGCAAAATCTTTCCTTTTTTTCAGTTATGTTGATGTTGGTAAATTCTACCATTGGTAAGATTAATATCTCATTAACATTTCTCAGAAAAATGAGAAATTTCATGATTACCTCAAGATTACTGGGGGGAGAAAAGAGGATTTATCTCTCTAGTCTAACTTTTTGGAAAGAAAAATGGATCTTTTTTCAACTTAGGAAAAAGCAAACTGATTGGAAACTGAACTTGCATTTTGGTTCATTTTAACACACACCACATAGGAAACTGCCCTAGCAAACCTATTGCTATTTTTTCACGAAAGCTAAAAATTTTCATTTACAGTTAAATTTCCACCAAGCGCAGAAATTGGGTAAATGCAGAGAACTTCATTCTTTTGTCAAAAACTGATATGCTCCTCTGTTTTGAATAATTCATTCCCTGCAGCACTGATCAAATGCCAACAAAATCCATGTACATAAAGACTGGTGTTATTGGCATTATTCTTGCACATGTGAAAAATGGACACATGCTGACTTTAATCGCCTTAAACTTGTAAATCAATAATGTGACTTATGAATACTCTTATATTAACATTTCTTACTCTTGAGGGTCTTGGTAAACAATTGTTATTAGTGAGTATTTTCCTATGTCATCTGCTTCTTCCCCTGTGGAGGATTTAGAGTATTTTGAGATGTGTGGAGAAAAAGAACAACCTATCTTCTTAGAGATAGAAGAACAAATTGCCCAATTCTTTGTACTCCAGCTTTCACAGTAGAGGGATACTTCTCTGGAGATTTCTTCTCAGCATTATGAGAAATGCTGTTTAGTGTAAGCCAAAACAAACCTCACTTCCACATTTTTTTCAGTATCAGCACCATTTTTAACCCCCAAGAATGAAAAAAAGTACTCTCCAGGAATATTCCGTATATTCATGACAAAATAAGACCCAAAACATATACTCTTTTCTTATTATTTTGAGCAGTGAATGTTAGCATCGATTAGGACTTTTCACTGTAAATATTATTTTTGTAAAAGAAGTGTTGTCAGAACAAACAATTTTTTTTTGGAAATATTTAATTTCCTCTAAAATTTGTGTTTTAAAAAAATAAATTTAAAATTGTTCAAATAGTTTGCTTCAGCATTCTCAAAGTAACTTTTTTTCATGACTTAGAAAGTATACGGTGGGAAAGATGATTTATACTTAGCTTCAGTGACTGCTTTGCAAAATGGTAAATCTTTTCCTTCATTATTCTGTTCTGAAAATGTATGATCAAACAATAACTTTAGAACACAGAAGCAGAACTAGTTACTCTGCAGAAATGCCTTCTGTTGAAACATGGCTGAGAGCTCATTGTGAAAATAAGATTCTTAATAGAGCTGCACTGGCAATTTAGATCGGCTCTAATTTCTAATTTAGATCCCTGTGTTTAAAAAAATGTATTTCAAACAGCCCATAATTATTCTCTGAAGACCTGTGACTAGGTGAGGCTACTGCTTTGTTGCAGTGTCCTTCTGTGGTTTGAAGTTGAGCCGTACCGATATGGTCAGACTCTAACCTCATCTTGAGATTATGGTAAGATCTTTGGAGGTCTGGAGATACAAAAAAAGTGAGGCAGAAGACACAGAGAGGGATGGAAACATATTATGCAGAAATAGCATCACCACTTTCCTAGGTCTTAAGCAATAGACATGTTAGGCTGGGGACATAGTGGTCTGAGAGTTTAAGCGTGCCTGGAATCCAGACTTTTTCTCAGTTCCAAGACAAATATTCTCTATCAGGAGATTTTCTTGATCTATTAATTTTCCTTCCACTGGTTTATATGGTTTGTGAGGGCTGTTGTTTTATATTTCCTATGGGAGATGATAACTTGTGCACATTTCTTCTTGTCACTGCATACTCAGGTCAGCACAAAATTATCTGAAGAGCCATCAGATGATAATGACCATCAATCATCTGATGACCATCAATCATCTGATGACAATCTCACATCTGAGATTTAGAGAGGGGGGTAAACTATTGAAAAGATTTCATTGACAGAGTCCCTTAGGAGTCAGTCCTGAGGGGAAAAGGAGTCCAGGAAGGCTGGATATGCTTTAAAGAGGAATTTTTAAATATTCAGGAACAGGCTTGTTAAATATTCAGGAGCTGGCTTCCTCCCCATGTGTAGGAAGACAAGTTGTCAGGTGAAAGACTAGACTGGTTAAATAGAGGACTTAGGCTTGAATTTAGGCAAAAAAAAAGAACCTATAATTTCTGGAAGGAGGGTCAGATAACTTGAGAGGACTGCAAGGATGTCATGAGGTCATGTGTAGAGAAGATTAGAATGGCCAAAGCCCAACTAGAATTTGATTTGGCTGCTATAGTTAAAGACAACAAAATAGTTTCTACAAATACCTTGGCAGCAAAAGGAGAGTCAAGGGGTGTCTCCATCATTTGTTGAATGCATAGGTACCATCCTGAGAGTGTTTAACAGGTATCTGTATCTGGCAGTGGGTGATATGTCTTAATGGTTTAGGCATTACAGTGGTAGTGCTGGGTTGAGGGTTGAACTGAATGATCTTAAAAGTCTCTGCCAACCTTGACTGATCTATGATTCTATGATTTTTGGATTAGAAGGTACAAAAAAATAAAACTCATGGACCACAACTTCAGCTGTTGCAAGTTGGTAAACATCCAGGGAAAACCATCTCAACCTACCTCTGAGGGTCTACTTTTGGGAACTGCATCCCTGTGTGTGCATTTTTTCTGTTTGAGTTTTGCAACAATATGAAGGAAAGGGTTGAGTTTAAATACTGTGTTACTGTATTTACTTCTGGTGTACTCATCTCACTGCCCTTATTAATGTTCATACACTTTAGATAGCCAAAAGTTTGTGCTATAAAATCACAAAGTCTGTTAGTAAGTATGTAGTTTATATCCAATAGCGAAGCTTGTCATGGTACCAATATAACCAGAGAATTGAGCACAAGAATCCAGAAATGTGCCAACAGTGGTCTCACTTTAAAGTTGTACCACAAGCCAGTTAGTAAACTGTGAAAACATATGAAATATAAATAAATAATAAAATGTATATTTATATGAAAAGACAGTACAGTGTCAAGCTTAGGCTTTTTTAAGGACTTCCAGGTAAACACAGACCATAAAGAAAGACATGAGAACTTTTTGGTTCTTTTTTTTTTTCCCCTAAGAAAATCAGAGCAGTACAAAGTTGCATAGGATCACAGAATGGTTTGTGTTGGAAGGGACATGGGCAGGGATGCCTTTCACTAGACCAGGCTGCTCAGAGCTCCGTACAACTTTGCTTTAAACATTTACAGGGTTGGAGCACTCATAGCTTTTCTGGGCAACCTCTTCCAGTGCCTCACCACCCTCACAGTAAAGAATTTTTTTCATAATATCTAATCTAAACCTACTCTCTTTCAGCTTGAAGCCATTCCCCCGTGTCCTGTCAATACATCCTCTTGTAAAACGTCCTTCTCCATCTTTCTTGTTCTGGAAAACTGCAGTTAGGTCACACCAAAGCCTTCTCTTTTCCAGGCTGAACAAACCACGTTCTCTCAGCCTGTCCTTGTAGGAGAATGGCTCCATCCCTCTAATCTACTTTTTGGCCCTCCTTTGGACTTGCTCCAACAGTTTGATGGCCTTCCTATGCTGAGTACTCCAGAGCTGAATGCATCACTCCAGTGTATCAGAGTGGCAGAATCATCTCCCTCACCCTGCTGGCCTTGCTGCCACTGATGCAGTCCAGCACATGGTTGGCTTTCTGGGCTGTGAGTGCACATTGCTGAGCCATGTGCAGCCTCTCATCTGCCAGCACCCCCAAGCCCTTCTCAGGAGGGCTACTCTTGACCTGTTCATCCCCTAGGTTGTTTGATTGCTCCAAACCAAATGCAGCATCTTGCACTTGGCCTTGTTGAACTTCATGAGATTCTCATGGGATCACTTCTCAAGGCTGTTCAGGTCCCTCTGGATGGTATCCTATCCTTCAGGTGTGTCAACAGCACCACTAACTTCATGTCATCTACAAATTTACTGAGGGTGCACTTGATTGCTTCATCTATATCATTAATGAAGATACTAAATGACACCAATCCCAACACAGACCTCTGAGGGACACCATTTGTCACTGATGTCTGTTGGGACTCTGAGCCATTGACCACTACCATCTGGATTTAACCATCTGACCAATTCCTTACTCATTTAACAGTCCACTTATTGAGTCCATATCTCTACAATTTAGAGAGAAGAATGTTGTAGGAGACCATGTCAAAGACTTTACAGGAGTACAGGTGACCCTTCCCTTGTTCACAGATGTAGTCACTCCATCATAGAAGGCCACATGCTAGGGGGAGAATATATTATGGTGATTTTTCACTAACTTTTTAGCATTATTTATTTTATTACAGGACTCAGATTACCCATCAAGACAGGTGAATTGGAAATAGGATTATTTTGATAAACATGCAAACCCCAAAGATACATTAAGATACATGTATAAGATAGTGAAAAATTCTCGTCTTTTGATGTGCTCTTTGTACTCCCATAAATCACTATTTAATCTCTCTTACTGTGGACATACTGGCAGTCCTGGAGGCCAGACTGGTTGTCCTGGAGGCCAGCTGGATATTAAATAACACTATAATTTGCCCATTATTACTGCTGAACAGCTTTTCAAGTGGCCTGTGCCTGACAACAGTTCTTTTGAAATACGTTTTTAGCCAATCTTTTCAAGACTTGGAGAAGTCCTGGATGATCAGTATTAATGTGACATTTCTTTTTAATGAGTTTCTAGATCTTAGAGTCTGAAACCTTCCTGACCTGTTACTGAAAGATGTGATCAATCCACTTAAATCCAATTCATTAGCAACAACCTCTAAGAGCTGTAATTCAGCCTCTCTCTGCAACACAGAAGTGCCCGAGGTACCATACACCTAGCACTTTGGAAGCTGTAACTCCACACCTAATATTAATTATTAACTCAGGCTTCTCCAGGACAATAATGCCTGGCCCCATGAAACATTTACTAGTTCTTGCATATGTAATTAACTTAATAAGCTTTCTCAGAAGTTTCTTTAAACTCACAGTTAGCTAAAGGGGTACACTTTGGCCTATCTTGTGATATAGATAATTTACCTATAACACGATACCAGTAATTACAAAGCTCTGTTTTGTTGCTGTGTGTTGATTTTGACACATCCTCATGTTAGTGAAGTCTCATTACTTCCAAGTGGGCATGAATATGTATGTATGTTATGTGCTTTTGGTTTTTGTTGTGGTTTCTAAAGTAATTATAAGACTACTTTTTATTACTTGATCATTCTTCCTGTTCTCACATTTTATTCATAGCAAAAAAGAAATGGAGGAAAGGACAAAGTGTGACAAAAGGCTGCAGTGATGTACAAATAGAGGTCTTTCAGTGACATAGTTTAGACATCAAGGTATAAATCTTAATTGAGTTATCTATTGAATTGTATTTAACAAAAAAAGAGTGTGTGTCACAGATATGGAAAAGACATGGCAAGCCTGGTCCCTGACTGAAGTTCCTAACTGATACCAAGTTTTTGCTGAACTTTAAGGCCAGGAGGCTTAAGTAACCCATGAACCACAGAGGTTGGGAGTAACCTAGTGGGACTAGTTTGCTGCAGAGCTGGTGGGGAAAGAAAAGATGAGGACCAGAACTAAAACATATTCTGTTTGATGACTCCAGCATCATGGTAGTTATGCTTTCTGTATTAATTCTTTGCATGTAACTGTACAGATGTTTCGGCCTCATTACTCATAAGGCCTTTATTAAATTTTTTTTCTGCACTGAATTTGCTTTTCAGATATACCATTAAAGCTCTGGTGGGAATTTTTCATAGTATCAAGTTGTTATTGAGTGTTACATTTAATTACCAATTAAATAAGATCTATAAGTGATGCAAGTATTTATGGATGTAACCAACAGACAGGCTGCTGTGGGGCCCTTAGTAACTCCTCTATATATCTGCATGTGGTGAGGTTCTCTTGTAAGACTTAACATCTCTAAAAGAGCAATATGAACTTGCTATTAAGAATGTTATTGGTGAAATCCACCACACACTGAAGCGTAAGACATGCTTTTAGAACATTAAAAGCAACTTGATTTCATTTATTCCAACAGTGGAAGAAGACTTCAACTTTTCTTTCGCAAAATAATTGATTTTTTTTATTATTCTTTCAAATGCATAATAATAATAGCATAAAAAAATCATTTAGATTGGAAAAGGTCATTATGATCATTGAGTCCCTCAATGCTGTTAACCCAGCACTGCCAAGCCAAGTCCATCATCAAAACAAGTCCCTCAGGACCACATCTACATTTCTTTTAAAAACCTCCAGGTATGGTGTTTCAACCACTTCCCTGGTCAACCTGGTTCAATGCTTGACAACCCTTTTGGTTAAGCAAATTTTCCTAATATCCAATCTAAACCATCCCTGGCACAAACTGAGGCTGTTTCTTCTTGTCCTGTTGCTTGTACCTGGAAGAAAAGACTGACTCCCATCTCACTACAATCTCCTTTCAGGAGTCAAACTGAGAGTGTTGTTGATCCCCTCTTCCAGATCATCATTAAAGATATTAAACAGAATTAGCCATAGTATTTTGGTCTGGGAAACACCACCTGTGACTGAACACCAAATGGATTTAACTCCATTCACCGCCACTCTTTGGACTATATAACCTGTGCTACTTTTTTATTAATTATGTGATGATTATTAACTATGTGATGACTTTGGCTATTACTTCTCAAGAATGGGAAATATTATTGACACAGTTTCTGATGCATATTTGAAACATCCACTTCTCATGGTCACTGTGATATATGCATTAATGCCAATAGTTCTATTTGTTAAAAAAAATCAAAGTGCGTTGTTACTGACTAGAATAAAATTCAGTGTAAATGGAAAATGAAAGTAGTACTGCAAGTCCACCATTTGGGTTTAGCTGATTTCTTTCCAGATTTATACAAAAAATTTATAAGTACAGGAAAACAATGTATTAAAAAAATGAGAGGAGTTGCTTCATACTTCTTTCATGAAACATGAAAGTAGCTTCACAAATATTGTGCATGAATCCCACTGGTTTTGTGCTCCAGCCTTACCTTGGAAACTGAGTTGGCTGCATGCATAACCACCAAGTAAGAAGTAACTGGTTTGTTTGTGATGCAGCGATGAACTTAGTCCAATGCACAGAAACAAAATGAAAATCACAGAAAAATAAGTTATAAAGCAGAAAAATTTGAGGAAGAAGGGATGGAAGGAGAGATGAAACCTCAGCCACTGGTAAAGCAAAATGTAGGGAAGCATCCAGTAGAGTCAGCAGCATAAAACCTCTAGGTGCAGTTATCCACCTTCAAAAGATAATGTTTTGGTTTGTCCTGAAGAAAAAAATAAAATACTAATAACACTCCAATTTGAAATATTGCTTGATGGAGGGTCAAGGAGGCAGAGGAGGATAAGAAAAACTAGTTTTAGTAGAATGCCTGTGAAAATATTTTAAAACAAATCAAAAAGGTAGTGAATTAGGCATTTAAAATAAATATTTTCATTAATTTCCTTGTGAAAAATCCTATCCTGTTTTTGCTTAGCTTCATTTTATAGCAGAACAAGTTTGTGGAGAGTTTTAGTGTTCATCTACAGATGCAAGATGTGCTCATATCTGCTACAGAGGATTTTTTAACTTATAAATTGTTGTTTTCTTATTATCTCCTTAAATTTCTTACTGCTTCACTGTAAAAAAACCTCAGCCTACAATTTGAAGTCTTCATATGCCTCAGCATAACATAATTAGTGACTGAAAAGACAAGTTTTCTACAGTTCTGTAGGTTTTGATTTCAGAAATTTTTCATGAACAAGTCTAAATTACCTAGAGATCAAAGTGATAGTAGGGGGGTTTCCTTTTGTAGTTCAGAATACGATATGCTGACCTGGCAGATTGGCACATATTCAGTTTATCGATTCTGGTTGCTTTTATGGCAGTGTTCCAGCACTGGCTGCTGAATTTAGGAGGAAGCTGCCATCTGCTGTTAGGACTGCCTTAAATCTGTTGACTGCAGCAAGATTTCAAATGCTGACACTTGGATTTAAAGGAGTCTCCTGGACACTGGTTTCCTGAAGCTGAACCAATCTATTTTCTATGACTAATTTAGGAGGGCTGAAATTTAAGTGTAGATTTTTTTTAAGTATCAAAATGAAAGAATGATCTGTGACCACTGAACCGTAAAATCTTGGAAGGACTCAGAGTGGCTTGGAGAATAAGAAACACACAGTCAGTGCCAATGTTAGCTAAATACAGAAAGATCAGACTCCAAAACCCAGAATACAAATGTGATCTAGAAGCACAGAATTGGGAACAAGGAATCTAGACTCTTAAAATGACACTGACTTGATCCTCAAGGAACAACTCTGAAGTGGTGAATACATGGGCTGTATTATTTAACTTACATATATTTATAAGCAAAACTTTAGTCTTTTGGGGGCTAGTGAAGTTACACTTCTAAGAATGACTCTGGGAATGATACAGCTAGAGAAGATATATGCAGAAATTCTCTAGAGTTGAATTAAACCTAGTAGCATAGCCACAACAGAACCAAGGCTTTAGCGTATACATATCTCCAAAACAAATAATGAAAATAAATTTTCCTTAGGTAGCTGGACAACAATTTATTATAAGTGAGACCAGGAGGAATAGCAGTTTGTAAATCACGCAAATGACCAGTAGTTGAACTTCTAAATTCACTGTGACTAAAAATATTTGATAACATTGACTGGATGTAGGTGGATCTCAGAGCTCCAAATACATTTTGATTGGAGCAGATTTCTGAAATTGCTTGTACTTTTTGCACTACATATGATTAGTATTCTGTGAAATAAAAAATTTCAGAGATTTTCTTTCCTAACATTACTAAGGCAACAAGATTTTATAAAACTCTATGAGGAGCTGAAACACAAAAAATTAAATTAATATGGTAGAGACAACATAAAATTTACTGTATCATTGTCTATATCTCTCTTTTGCCATCATTTTTCAGGGAAGCCCAACTTTTTGTTGAAAAGTTTGAGGGTGCTCTTGGAAAAGGAAAAGGAAAAAAATTCTATGCATACAAAGTGATGATGACCAAGGTAAATTGTTTGTTTCACTAACTTCCTGTAAAGCTAATGGTAAACCTTTTGTAAATTATTGCCATAGGTACTGATCTTCCAAAGTAGAGTTCCTTGTCTTTCTTTGCATTTTAAAACTTTTGTTTCTACTGCCCCTGCATGAAAGTATTTCTAATGAGAGCTGACAGTTGGATGAAGCTTCTTGTCAAAACAAAAATCAACTGTTTTACAGGAGTTTTCAAGAATTTAATATCTTGTGAAAGTTAATTTCTCTTGGTGTAGATTGGGTATTTGTGTGGACCGAATCTAAAGTTCAGTCTTTCTCTTGAGGTTCTCATTCTTCTAAACACATATTTTGGCTTAGTTTTATGTTCTGACACTCCTTTACAGTACAAATCTAACTGTGTTGAATTGGAATGGTTCGTGAGATTCACTTCAAAAGCACACTGTTGCCCCAAACTAAAATGCTGATGCAGAAAAGCACTAAGAATATTTGTCAGGACTACTTGTTATGACCAGGTTTACCCTTAGTTAGACTGGATTTTGTGCAAGCAACTGTGTGGTCCCATCTCCTAAGCATTGATGGTCACAAAAAGTAATCAGGCTTTCAAACTCAGTTGGACATAGGAAGCTCAATTACAGAAGTTAAACTCTCTAATAGATAAACTCATGTGTTAAGTATTTGCAATTAAATGACATAGCTTAAGCTCCTGATTTAACTTTTGAATAGCAAAGGAAATAAGAAATTAAGTCTCAGAAACAATTCTAAAAAAAGAAAAAGAAAAAGGAAAAGAGAAAGAAAGAGAAAAAGGAAAAGAAAGAGTAAAAGGAAAAGAAAGAAAAAATAAAAACAAAAAGAAAAAGAAAAAAGAGAAAGAGCATGACACAAAAGGAAGGGATTAGTTAATAATTGTGGAAGAAATAGAAACTTCACACAAAGCCAATAGGAGACATATTCAGAACAAACAAAAGGAGGTGGTTCTTCACAAGCTGTTACTCTGTAGACTCTGACAAAGGAAGCTGTGCTTGGTTAAGGGCTTCCATTAGCTCAAGGGAGAATTGAGCATCTGGACACTGAGATGATGGTGTGTTGTTTTTTTTTTTTTCTTTTTCTGTGACTCTTTTCAGAAATGGATGAAATTTCAAAGAGACTTTGAGAATTTTAAGACAGCCTGCATACCTTGGGAAATGAAAATTAAGGAGATTGAAAGTAAGTAAATAAGAATAGTATCAATTATCATACTTCTGATGTCTGCCAAAATGATAAATTACTTCAGAATATGTGTCAGTATTCAATGCATAGTTTAAAATCAATTAGTATTTATTTTTTCATTAATATTGGTTGAGCTTGATATTATAGCTAGTTGAAAATTTCCCTGAGAGAGTATTAGTCATTTCATAGAAAAAATCCTCAATACACAGGTACCAGTTCAAGAGCCAGTGTTGAAGTTAGTCTTGGAAAGGTGGAATTGGGATTTAGCTATTTCCTACCTCCACTTTATTTTGTCTGTATTTATAATATACAGATTATACTACACAGACTATACTGTAATTATTTCTGCCAGTTTTCATTATATTGATCTTCTTGTAATATGTATTTCTCTCACTCTCAGACACATGTTATAGCACAGAGAAAATGATAGCAATCTTGGATGTCCACATATACTGGGCATAAATATAAACAAGGCAATGTAGTTGGTACTGTGGGTATGTTTGATAATAGATGTTTGTCACAAGTCAGTTTTGCCTTGTAGTTCCAGTGCTGAATTTAAATTGCAGCCCTTTGTTTGGAGCACATTTGACTTAACTGCGTAGATACCTGAGTGAGGTTCTGCCACTGATGAAATGCAGATGAAAGTGCAATGAAACTTGTTTTAGAAAAGTTGCATTTGGAAGGATTTGTGGGTTGCATCAAAAGGCAATAACCAGAAGAGTAGAAAAACAGGAAAATGATAAATGGTGAACTTTGTGGGGCTTTGGACTGAAAAAACCTTTGAGAAGAACTTATATAATGTCCTTAAACATACAGTCTACAGACTGTTTAACAGATTATCTATTCTCTTGAGGTGGAGTTTAGAGCACATAATCTATTATGGATACATAATAGCTATCTTGAGGATTTGTAAGAGTAATGGTTCTGCAAGATTCTTTAAAGGAGTAGTCCTTGCACAAGCTCTTCTGCTAGTAATAACTTCCAATAGGCATATTTCTTTCCTTTTAAAATAAGAATGCAAAAATGGAACAGGATAATTTTTCCAGGCCTGTTTCTGTATCTATTTATCTTTTCATTTGAAACAAGTAAAGTTTTTGCTGAAGGGTACCAAAATCCCAATGGGATAGTTTCATAATCTCAAGGGGTAAGATTGCAAAGTTTACTCTTTTTCTTTAAGTTTTTCTTCTGTTCAATATATTGCTAGGGAAAGCTGCAATTGCTTTTACTTGCAGAAAGGATCATCTGCCAGAATGCCAGTAGTTTAAGGAAGCCTTCACCTGGTGATAGGACTGCCTTCACACTGCATACTGGTAG